GTTATTGGCGAGGGACATGGCAGTTGAAGGGGAGAGTAGGGAGGAGGCCGAGGGCCTGGTGGTGGGGGTGGGAAAGAGGCATAGGCAGGATCTCGTGGATGGTGGGAGATCGGAAGGGCGGGGAGTGGATGTTACAATGTCCGAGGTTCCAAAAAACTTGTTTACGGTGGGTTCTGGTTCCCAGACCCGCCCATCATTATGAGTATCATAAGTTGGAACTGTCGTGGCTTGGGCAATCCATAAACAGTTCGGGAGATTGAGGATCTTGAGTCCCGTAAGAAGCCGGAATTTGTATTTTTGATGGAAACAATGGTGGGACGTGTGCATGCGGAGCGTCTCCGGGTCCGACTTGGTTTTGAGGGTTTGTTTTACGTTGATAGTACGAGGCGTAGTGGTGGGATGGCTTTGTTTTTGAAAAAGAATAATACAGCACGCTTGCTAAGTTATTCAAAAAATTATGTAGACGTGGAGGTGACTCACACGAGTGGACTAGTGTGGCGAATGACTGGTTACTATGGTTTTTCAGAACGGCATAGGAGAAGGGAGTCATGGGATCTGTTGTAAATCGCCTCTCCCCTGGGTAGTGTTGGGGGATTTCAATGACCTACTATATCAGCATGAGAAGAGAGGTGGTAATCCGCATCCGAGTAATCTCCTACGCGACTTTGGGGAGACCTTGGACATGTGTGGTTTGTTACAATTACCAATGAGGGGCCATCAATACACCTGGGAAAAGAGTAAGGGGACGGAAGGGTGGTTAGAGGAGCGTCTTGACAAGGTTCTGGCCACGACTAGTTGGTGTGATATGAATAGCGACGCTGTGGTTGAAAATATATTGATGCGAAAGTCGGATCATTCGGCTCTATTCCTCAATATTGATGCATGCATACAGAGGGGTAGAAGTTTGAGAACCTTCAAGTTTGAGATAGCCTGGCTCTATGATGATGGCTGTAGGGAAGTGGTTGAGACTGCTTGGCAGGGTGGAAGGGCTCAGGGGTTGCTGAATTGTCAGCAGCAGTGTGGAAGCTCTTTAATGAGATGCGGGGTGACCACTTCCATAAGTTTGGTGATAAAATAAAACGGCTTCGGAAGAGACAGGAGGAGATCAGAAATCGTAGGGATTCTGCTGCTTTAGCTGAATTCTAACAGGTGGAGAGCCAGTTGAGCCAACTAGAGGCACAAGAGGATGTGTTCTGGAGGCAGCGTGCAAAGCAACATTGGCTCCGTGGTGCTGATGCCAACACTCGGTTTTATCACAGGTATGCCACTGCCCGAAAGAAAAAGAATTGTGTTTCTAGGATTATGAATGATGCAGGGATATGGGTGGAGGGTGAGGCTATGAATCGGGTAGGTTTAGATTATTTTAAAGCTATTTTTGCCTCTGGTGTTTCTGAATGTGTGGACCTCTTATTTGATGATTTTGCCCCTCGGGTATCCCTTGAACAAAACAATGAATTATTGCGCCCTTTTATGCCTGAGGAGGTCAAAACTGCTCTGTTTTCTATGTTCCCTGACAAAGCACCGGGGCCGAATGGAATGAATCCGGGTTTCAATCAGCACTTCTGGGATGTAGTTGGAGGTGATGTGTCTCAATTTGTAGTGAATTGTTTGAATAATGCCACTTTTCCAGATGGGTTAAACGATACAAATGTTGTGCTAATCCCGAAGAAAGTTGTGCCTGAAACGGTGGCTGATTTGAGACCAATAGCTCTGGGGAATGTGCTTTATCGTATCATGGCTAAAATGATCGCTAACAGGATGAAACCACTCATGGGGGACTTGATCTCAGAGTCTCAGAGTGCTTTTATCCCAGGTAGGCTGATCACAGATAATATCCTAGTTGCTGCAGAGGTTGGTCATTTTTTAAATAGGAAGCAATGTGGGGCCACAGGTTGGGGGGCTTTGAAGTTGGATATGGCAAAGGCCTATGACATAATGGAGTGGCAGTTTTTACAAAAGATGCTGGTGGTAATGGGGTTTGATGAACGATGGGTTAATCTGATTATGCTCTGTGTAACCACTGTTGAATACAATATACTTGTAAATGGGGTGACGGGTGGCCGAGTAATACCTACTCGGGGTCTCAGACAGGGAGATCCTCTATCCCCTTATTTGTTTATTATTTGTGCAGAGGGTCTATCTTTATTACTACAGAAGGCACAGATGATGGGTTCTATACACGGATGCAGAGTCGCTAGGGGGCACCCCCAATCTCGCATCTATTTTTTGCGGATGACAGTCTGTTGTTTTTCAGGGAAAATGTGCAGGAGGCCACGGTGATTAAACAATGCCTAAAACGTTATGAGAGCTTGTCTGGTCAAAATGTAAACTTTCATAAGTCTAATATCTGTTTTAGCAGAAACACACAGGAGGCCGAAAGATAGGCAGTGGCGAATTGCCTACAGGTTGACCAAGCCCCAAATTTTGGAAAATATTTGGGTCTTCCTTCGTTTGTGAGAAAAATTAAGAGGGCAGCTTTTGCTTATGTAGAGGACAAGATCAGGCAAAGGATAGGGTCATGGAATAAAAAACTACTATCACAGGCTGGTAAAGAAGTCTTGTTAAAAAGTGTGGCACAGGCAATGCCAACTTTTACAATGGGCATTTTCCTTTTGCCAGACTCCATCACATTGTCTAGTGAAAGAACTATGAATAGATATTGATGGGGCAATGAACGGACAGGAAAATCCACTGGAAAGCTTGGGATAAGCTGTGTGTTCCCAAGAATTATGGTGGTTTGGGTTTTAAGGATCTGCGGAAATTTAATTTGGCAATGTTAGGGAAACAGGGCTGGCTGTTCCTAACTAATCCCAACACTCTGGTTGCAAAAGTTTATAAGGCACGGTATTATTCGAATACTTCTTGTGTGGATGCAACCATTGGAAATTGCCCTAGTTATTGCTGGAGAAGTATTATGGCAGCACATGATATTATTGTGTCTGGTGTAAGGCGAAGGGTGGGTAATGGAAAATCAACTTTGATATGGGGAATCCCTGGTTACCTGATGACCCCAGCCCTTTGGTTCAGACATAAATGCCTATACAGCTAAGAGATGCACCCGTTGCTGGACTGATTGATCAACAAACTAATAGATGGGATCCACACATCCTATTTGATATATTTATCCCAGAAGATGTGAGTAGAATATTGAAGATCCCTGTGAGCCCAGATTATGAGGACTCATGGTATTGGCTGGGTGACCCTAGGGGAGTATATTCAGTAAAGAATGCCTACAGGAAGCTGGCAGGTGATTATGCATATGCCCCAGGTGTTTTTTATAAATGGGCAACTATATAGAAATTAAGGGTTCCATCCAAGTGGAAAACTGTGGAGGGAAATTTGTGATATCCTCCCTACAACGAATAATTTGATTTTAAAGAGGGTAGAAGTAGAACCAACATGCAACATGTGTGGATTGGCTCATGAGAATATTATGCATGCATTAATTCTTTGCAGTTATTCTAGACTTGTATGGGATGTTACATGCTTACCCATTATGAATGTTATAACGGATTCTTTTCCCTCATGGATTATGGGTGTGTTGACAATTTTAATGGAAGAGCAGTTTTGTTTGGTGTTGGCCGTGCTATATCATCTATGAAAGACCCGAAATACGGCGGTATGGGAACGTTCACTCCTGCACCCAACCACCGTCCGGAGACAAGCCGTGGCAGCTTTGCATGCCTACGACCAAAGCCATCCGACAACCCCCAGCCGAGACCTTACGCCGGCAGCACCACCCACGCCGTCACATGCACGCCCTCATTGCTACATCAACGCCGGCTTCAGGCCAACGACTGGCGAAGCCACATACGGAGCAGTCTTATTAGCGGCGGACGGAACTTTTATCGCAGCAACAAATGGCAAGTTGCCAGTTTGTTTTTCACCCCTTATGGCGGAGGCCGCAGCTTGTAAGGAAGCATTGTCCTGGTTAAGGGAGAGGAATGTCATGATGGTTGATCTTCTCACTGACTGTTCGGAGTTGCGCAGCATTTTGCATCACACCTCGTCGGCTATATTATCCTATGCTGGAGTCATGATAGACCATTGTAGGCTATCTATGACTTTATTTACTTATTGTTCTATCAGTTTTATTTCTAGACAGCTTAATTTACATGCGCATACATTAGCTTCGTTAGCTTTTACTCAGGATAACTCTATGTACTGGGATGTTATCCCTCCTGACTCTATTGCTTCAATGATTAATTAATACAATCGTTCCGGTTGGTTTCAAAAAAATCTACAATTCTCAGACTTTTTCAGATTTGCACATTTAGTATTAACATTTTGCATATCTAGTATTAAAAGATTGCACTTGCAAAATTTCGAAAGTTCATTGCACTTAGAGTTTAGATTTTAGAGTTTATGACTGAATTTTTTTGTTTTATTTAGTTTAGTGATTCACTTTTTACTATTTAAGGTCTAGCATTTACAGTTTATATTTAAAATTTAGCTTTTTCGTTGACTTTATAAAATTTACTGAGTTTGCATGTTTAGTTGTCAAAGATTGCATATTTAAGTGTTCAAGTTTGCATAGTAAAATTGATGACAATTACGAAAATGCAAATATAGTTCTTTAAAAAAAATAAATAAAAAAAAATTGATCAAATCCGTCATATTTTAACACATATAAGATTAAGATTGATTTTTATTTCTTTCCTATGGTACTGTTCTCACGAGATCCTTAATTAGTCTATATATATATATATAATGAAGTTCGGATGTGAACTTGAGTTATCATATGCACTTGTGCCCTCTTATAAAATAATAATAGGTCATAATATTATACTCCATATAATAATTTAAATATTTTCAAATTATTAGACAATGTAAATTCAGAATTAATAAATTTATTCAAAATAAATTATAATCGGCGAATCGCACGGTTAAACACTAATTAAATATAAAGAAGCAAATCATTGTATGGTCTCCAATTTTAGTATCACAGAATCACCTTTGTAAGGAAATTTTGGTCTGTAAATGAAGCAGAACACTTGCTACAACCTCAGAAAAAGCAGTTGAAAGACACAAGGTTCAGAAAGCCAACAGCCCAACACAACACAATTTAAGGAGGTCAAAATCATGGCAAAAGCAAACACTACTCCACATCCTCTCTTCAATCTCCTTCAAACCAGTTGGGAAGCCTATTTCAATTTACAATGCCGACCCACAAGCCCAAAAAGAAAGAAAAAAAAATTATTGAAAAGATGTTTAGCTATAGGCACAATTTTAATCTAACTCCATATTGGATAATGTTCCAATCGCCAATCCCTCTACCCTCCATCCAGCATCTAATCAGAATCACATAAATCCATAATTTGAAGCACTCAGTTACTAAAATCTATGCTGCCACTTCCGGAGCTGCTGGCATTGCGACTGTGCAAGGAAAGGCCCCTCACGTGCCTTGTTAGAGTAGAGCCGTCCAATTTGATTTCCTGAAAGAATTTCTCCCTCTCAGCATGCTTAGCAGGCGGTGGTGGAATTGTAATAGCTGTCTTCCCCATATCATTTTCTTGTTTATGCTCTAAAGACACTGGCCTTATGAGTGGACGGTGAAGCATATTTCCAGGAACAGATGATCCAAGCAATCCCATAGGTCTATCTATGTGGCAGTCTTCATCTTCAGGTTGTATACGAGCTTTTCCTTTTCGCATTCTGCAAAATTTGAGCTAAAATGAGAATTAAATTTATTCACATAACCATGGGCTGTGCTAAGCCTTTTTACGGTCATAAATTTAAATATCACTGTTTCTTTCCTCAAGCAGGAACACATTGATTTAAACACCACAACCAAATAGAAGCAACTATAAGTAAGAAACAGTGCATAAAAAGAACACATGACCAGCAGAAATAGATTTCTGTGGCACTGAAAGGAAACTGAGTTTACAATTTAGAGGTCAAGAATAGGCAGTAACTACAATTCACAATTATTTACTCACATATTTATTTCTTGTAGCATGTAAAATCAGCATACTTAGAGATGTGTGTAGCAGTTATGTGATGTCAGTGTGCATCTTAACAGCAGATTATAGAAGCATACCTTCTAAAAAGCTGCTCGGCCTCCTCCTCCTCCTCCTCTGATTGCTCATGGTCAGCAGGAATTGAAATTGACATTGGTCTACCAGCTACAAGTGCATCATGCCTTGAAAGAACTCTATCAAGCTGCTCAATAAGTTCGATTGCTTTAGAAACAACACCATCATCCCTGGAGAGTAAAGGTTGCTATGCAGATTAGCACAACAGGAATTAAGAACAATTGCTTCTCAAGATTACTGTTGGAATGCTATTTCTTTAGATTTACTTCCTTCTTTGGTCATAAACATCTAACCACAAGAAAAGATCTGGCTTGCAACATCATCTATGAACATATGAGAAAAGTACAATATGTCATTTTATATGAACATATGAGAAAAGTACAATATGTCATTTTATATGAACATATGAGAACCATGCCTTAGGTGAGAACCTGCTACCTGCTGCATGAGTGCACACAATCTACTACATGAATGCACAAAATCTACTACCAGGAGATCCTGGGGTAAATTATGTGCATTTGTGAAGTAGATTGTGTGCACTCATACAGTTCTCACTTAAGGCATAGTTCTCATTTGATCCTCAATGTGTGTGTGTGTGTCTATATATATATATATATATATATATATATATATATATATATATATATATATATATATATATATAGAGAGAGAGAGAGAGAGAGAGACACACACACACACACACACATACACTTTCGTATATGTGACATAGAAGCAATTCAAAGTCCCCAGCAAGTTGCTGGCAAATAGAAGCATAGTGTTATTAAGGATTTGACTTTAGCTTCACTTCTTGTCAGTTTGTCACTAAAATCAAAAGTGAGACCATACATATCCTATCCATTAAAACAAAATATTATGCTTATTAGGTTTTGCAAAAAGCATTAGACTTTTAAAATTATTTCAAGCAAATTAAGTTCACTTGAACTTTATTTTGTCTAATCTAGAACTAGATTATTGGGCTCAAATATGTGTGAATGCTCAACACTCTGCTTGTAAAAAGATATATGGTGTCGATATAATGACAGAGAAAGAATGATGTTTAATTATCAAATGTTATTCATCACAAGAATACAAGTAGTCAAATTGTTTTTCTTTTTCTCTTTTTGGATAGGTATACAGTTAGAAATTATTACCGAGAAGTCATTGCAAGATGCATAACTCTTTGCTTCTGAAATGAACATTGTTCCACAAGATCAAGTGTGAACTCATCCCTTGCTCCCTTAAAATGAAAAAAATATTACTGTCAAAACTAGTTATTCTTATCATATGTTTCAAACTCAAAAAGAAGTACACTCTCACATGAATATGTGTGTGTATGGTCACATGAAAAAATACGATACAAAGCAACCAACATACCTCAGGATGTTGAATATCAACAGCATCAATGACTTCCCTTAAGACTTCAAGTGCAGCACTGGCTTTCTTCAGAATACTGCATAAATACAATATCTTCTCATTATTATGAAACTGAGATCATATATCAAGGACATTCCCTTTTTGGCAGACTTAAATGTCAAAAAGTTGCCAAGGGCCTTTTAGTCCAGTCGCAATCAGCCTAAGATTCTAATGTTCTTTGTACTTAAGTGTTTATTGACCACAACTTGAACAAAAACATTTAATGCTAGGGTCACTAAGAATGTTTTCTATTGAATACATACAATCAAGAAAATTAATAGCAAGCCCACTATTGAGCAGGAAAAAGAAATTTAGATGGGGTAGGAACTACATCTTTGATTTCCATTTAAGAAAAGCAGACGAAATGGAGGAGATGCAGCTTGATATTCTAAAATTAAATACTCCCTCAGTTCCATTTTATGTATCTGGTTCGATTAATGAGACTTGACTGATGTTATTTTTAATTCAATTTTTCATAATATTAAGTTTAGTATTAGTATACAAAATTTATATATTTAAAAACTACACTAAAAGTACTATTGAACACACAAAATCAAATTTTAAAATAAGTAAAAGATACTAAAGAAAACAAACAAAGAAGAAAAAGTCGGTTTGACCAATGAATAATAAGTATGACAGATAAAATGGGACAGAGGGAGTACCTTATCTTTCTCCAGAAACTGTAATCGTCATTTATCATTGGGGTTATAAGAAACAAGGCGTGCTAACTTTATTATTTCTCTTTCCTTGTTAATGGGAAATGAAACAAATAATACCTAGAATCTGGAACTTTTTCAGTCTCTGGTTGCTGTGCATTCTTTCCGCAGTGAGAAGTGGCCAACTCACCGACACAAGGGTTATTCTTATTATCATTGGAAGATATTGGATGCTCTTTTGGAATGACATGAGGTCTTTGAGGAAATTTTGCTCCTGCATTCTGAAATATCAAGTATTATTTTGACATTCAAATTCCGCAGCCATGAAATGTTTTACAAGCATTGTATATTTTCAAGTCACATCTGTGTAAATATTACAGATCAATGTAGCTTGCAAATTTTTTATTCAAGAATAACGATAAGAGTAATCAACTTAACATTCTTATTGCCATTACCTATTAACCAACGAAGAATTATAAAAAAGGAATACAACTAAAAAGCATCATCACCAAAAAAAAAAAAAAACGATAACACTATAACAGCAACTAAATAGAAATGCAAGAACAAGATACCCATTCTTACTATCCCTTGTTTTCCAATGTCAAAATGCACATTCCTTTAATCTTACTAAAATTCATCTAAATTGTTTGAAATTTCAAATATTAAAATATTTAACATAGTTTATTTTAACCATATCATTGTGATTTTTTGGAATCAATAGAGAACTTACCAATGTTAGCAAGTACAACAGAAGTATTAAATGTTGAGAGGTAATGAGGATTGAGGTATACATTTTGACCAAGGAATACCTTTGCAATATCTACATATTGAGTACATAAATAGAGACAGGCTTAACTCTCCTGACTCTTTATAGTTGCAGTTTCTCTCTTTCACTTCGCTTATTTTAAATTCTTTCTCCCACACAATTTTCAATCAACTTCACAAAAGCCAATTCATTTATCTTTAGTGATAATGTAGCTATTATCAGTCAGCTTCAATTATCAGGTACTTTTTTGTTTTAATCTCCAGAATCAATGACAAAAAATACAGTACCTGGAGCCTAATTAACAAAATGGAGTTGATGATGCAAAATTCATTTGTAAAAGACCCACCACTATCCCATAACATAGAAAAGAAAAAAAAAGGGAATTGTTATCATTTGTGGTACCTACCACCAACTCGTAGTATGCAGAATAGTACTGAGGATACCTCCCAGAAGCCCCACCAACAGATGTCTGTGCAGCATCTAGAAGAAGAAATATTTTCTCTCTTACAGGTATATCTGACTATAGAAAGAAAATAAAAATAAAAATTAACATTTAATGAAATGATTAAATGAGAAAGAATTACGATTATGAGATGTAAACCTTTTTCTTTACTATCTTTACAAGAACTGGGAGAATTCCAGTCTCTACAACCTGCTTGTGAACAGAATCTCCTATATTGTTCAGTAGCATCTCCAGCAACTGCAAAATTAAACAACCACCCAAATACTCCTTACCCACAAATATAACTACTGTTTTAGTGTTTCCAAACTAATAGGACAATAAATTAAAGCCAGTGAGGTTGAAAATTTAATTTTAGCAAAACAAAAGTTGCTTACTGTTACTGAAAATAGCTGAGCTGTTGGATTTTTACTTCCCAAGTGCTTTTTTATAGCTTTAACAACATCTTTAGCTTGCCTGAAGAAAAATAAAAGCAGCTTAAGTTTCGTACCTCAGTAACTCAAGAAACAATGAAGACCCAGGATGAGTGTCTTGCATTTAGCTAACCAGTAAATCCTTTTGAAAAAATATTATGATATTAGAGTTTATGATATTTATCAACAAAACTGGTGCTACCTTATAGAATTAAAATATTTGAGACTTTGCATAAGTAATATAACTATGATCAACACTGAACTGATAACTGAAAGTCAACAAATTTAATGTTATATAATAGAACTAAAATATTTGAGACTTTATAAAGAAATATATTGTGCTTGAGGAACAGATAAGTGACAGTGAATATTATTAATAATATAGAAAATTTTCACTGTCACACATCCTCAAGAAGCCGAAAGATAAATTCCTCCCAAATCCCATTTTGAGACAAGTGTTAGACTGTTAGTTCAAGGAAGAAGCTATGTTACCCTGCAGATGGACATGCATCTTGCAAACTCTAAAGCCAACCCTTGAAGCGCCAATTTCTCCACGTAACCCCCCCCCCCTTCCCCCCTCCCCTTCTCCCCAGGCAAAAGGAGAGAAAAAGGAAATACATATTGTACCACTAACACGATAGACATGTAATCAAATATCACATCTGTAAAACCTATCCAATCAAACATTTAGCCTGAAGTCCATAAAAATAATTTTAAAAATAAAAATATAGAACTATGGCTCTTCTTCTAGTAAAGGAGAAAGTGTCAAATGAATTGTTTTATACAATATATGGTATTGTTTCTTTTAATACGTCCTAAGTCCAAAAAGTTTTTAAAAACCAGTGATGCAAAACGACTATCCTTCTATCGTCTGGAAAAGAGAAATTGTTAAATCAATGGTTTAATACAATAGTCAGTATTGTTTTGGTTTAACACCACCTATTTTGCATATTCTTCATCTTTCCATATACGTTATTAATAGTTTGAAAATAACTATGAAGTCCATAAAAATAATTTTAAAAATAAAAATAATAGAATTATGGTTCTTCTAGAAAAGAAGAAAGTGTCAAATGAATTGTTTTATATAATATACGATGTTCTTTCTTCTAATACTTCCTATTTCCTAAGTCCAAAAAAGTTTAAAAATCAGTGATGTAGACTGCCATCCTTCTACAGTCAGGAAAAGAAAAATTGTTAAATCAATGGTTTAATACAATAGTCAGTATTGATTCGTTTTAATGCTACCTGTTTCACATATTCTTCATCATTCCATAATTGTTATTAATAATTCGAAATACCATCATATTTTAAGATTTGAAATTTTAATCGACTTTTGATTTAGAGGAGTCATTAGATCATTTATATTTGCCTTGATTTGGAAGTACAGCTCTTTTGGGCTAGAAATCCTATAAAATAAAACTTTAGTACGAAAAATGGCTCATAATGCCACCAAAGTACCATATAACTACAAATGTTAAGGGAGAATATATTGGATGAAATGTTAATTACATTATATAATGACATTGCTTCAAATATTGTAAATTCCTAAGCTCATAAATGCAGTAATCAAAAAGCAAACTATTAAGATGCATATTTTCTCCACAATACATGTACTGACAGTAAATTAAAACCTGCCAATATAGAATGATAATATTACAGCAAAAGACTGTCAATATCGATCAAATAAATAATGGAACACATTCAGAACAAGTGCTGATTTGGTACCTGTTATCACGAGCAACTAATTCACAAATCTCAATGTTTTTTATCCAATCTGTTTCTGTAAGTTTGTCACTTGTAGCAGAATTAACAAGCTCTGTTGCCATCTTCATTTCTCAGTATCAACAATAAGCATGCAGTTAGAAAGAACCCTGATAGATAGTTGGCAGAATTAGCATTGCAAATGTAATTGTACAACTGCTCCAAACCCATCACCTAAAGAAATGAAGCGTGCCTGATTTGTGTATCTTGAGTTATTTTAAGTTTTAACTCCCTCTTGAATTCCCCCCGCCCCGTCCTAAAATGCAAATATTTGAAGCATTATGTTTACCATCATAATTTCAAACACCATAACTCCACCCCACACAAACAATTATCCTAAGGGAAACAATTAAATTAAAAAAAAAAAAAGGTGTCAAATTACATTTTTTTCCTCATTGACTTTTACTTTGACATTATTGCAACTATTCCAAGCTTATAGATCTATAGTTCTCCTATATCATGAGAACAAAGTGAATAACATATCAAGATCTTGCATTATAGATTCTGAATGCCTAGGGATGATAAAGCAAGGATCATTTATAACTAACAGTTTAATTATTTGTCAATAACTTTTCACAAAGATCTCAGCTTCCAATTATTTGGCAGAACTTAGCTAGGGTTCTGACTTAAATTCTTCCTTTTTTCCAATTAAAATCACTTCCTCAAGGAATTCAGCCTTCTTTACATATTTATAAGCAACTGTGAATTAGCTTGAGGGTTTGACACACATGAACTTTCTCTTCTTCGTATGTGGAAACAAGTCAAAATAAATGCCTCATACCCCAAAGACAGGAAAGAAACCACATCAAAAGCCATACTACAAGTGCTGTGCTGTTTTAATTGTAGAAAAACAATGTAAACGGGGGTAATAACTATTCAATAGTAAACCTAAAAGATTTAATAGTAATTTTTTCCTTAAAATCACTTTCAATACCACTAATTTTTTCTCGGGCAAATCAAACTAGAAATTTACTCCATCAAGTCAAAATGCTGTCTCAGCTAAGAGCAGTCGCTTTCACTTCACTTCTCACGCCTTCTAGAACCCCATTGATTATCATTTTCTGCAATTCAGATCTTCACTACGAGCTTCACCCAATCAAACTAATTTTAATTTAAAAAATTAAAAATAAAAATGAAGAACCCAAAACCAAATACAATTTTTCCTATAATACCAAGAAAAAAATATCGAGTATATCGATCAACCATACGCACCTGCAGAAGCAGCCAGCCAGCAAACTCAATGAATCAACAGATCAGCAACAAAATACAAATGTCCGAATTCATGATACGTATACTCCCGTAATCATTGCGTACATTGGAACTACGGAGTATAATTGTATACAAAAATACATACTGTATATACAAATACATAAATATATATATAAATATAAAAGGGAAAGGTGAGAATCTTCTATAACCTTACACGGAAGATTTTCTTTTGCCTTTTGTTTTAGTAGTATTTTAATTAATCGTAGAATCTTTGTGTATAATTATGATTATATTAACAAAGTTGTTGAGCTGAGAAAGTGATGGCTCTAGCCACTGAGGGGAGGTTTTGCAGCACCGCCATGGGGCAGCTCTGCTTTTGGGCATGCTAATGTTACGGACTGTAATAAACTAATGGAGTTAAAGGTGGCGCGTGGAATCCCTTCCGGCTGCCTAGAGAGTGTTGGTCGTAACAGGTCTGTGAGTTTAGATTTATGCCGATATATTTAAAAGTGAAAATTATAATTTTAGTCCTTTAATTATTTTTTATTAGAAATTTTAGTACCTAATTATTTAATGTTGCAATATAAAGTATTTTTAAATTTTATTTTTTATTAATACTGTAGTTTGTAAATTTTCAATATAAAATACAATAAAAAGATATTCAATACCATCACATGCATACAACAATTCAGCATACTCTTAAACATAAACAAAATAATATAATAAATTCTAACCATCAAATACAATATATCACCCATACTAACTAAATAACAAGTCACAAATCCTAACCATCAAATACAATATATCACCAATTAATTCACCATACAAATCAGAAACTTCACATCAATTCAATACAAGTTAATAACTTCACATCCACCATGTTCTTCAATCTTCACTCTTTCCAGCTACAACAACCCATCCAAAAAGATTAGCAACAATCATTCAAACATACCTGCAAAACAATGTCTATTACTTGAAGAAATCAGTGTTGCGAAAATCCCGCCTAGACACCGATTAATCGGCGCCTTGGCGCTAGGCGCTGGTCGGGCGTCTAGCATTTCACTATAATCGGTGGTCTAGGCGGCCGCCTAAGCACCGCCTAGGCTTTCTAAACGTCGACTAGGCTTCTTAGGCACCGACTAGGCCGCCTAGATGCCGACTAGGTCGTTTAGTCGGCCGATTAGCTATTGTTCCCTTCTTTTTTAAATGGGAAATTTTACTCAAAACGACATCATTTTGAACGAAATAACCCTAAATTGTTTAAACTCTAGATGTTTTTTAGGTTAATATTTAATATTTTAGTATTAATTATTAAAGTATTAAATAGTTTATAATTATCAAGTCTTAAAAAATAAAAATAAACAAATTTAAACAAATTTTTAAAAAATAAAAAACAAAATAAAAAAATACACGGACGTCTAGGCCGATTAATCCTCGCTTAAGCACCTTAGGCGCTCGAGGAGCGCTTAGCGATTTTTTCAACCATGGAAGAAATAGAATAGTACAGCTTAATCCTTATTAATTGAAATAGAAGAGTACAACTTAATAAGAAAATGAGCTTCAATTCTCCAAATGAGCTGTTTCTTTTCACCTTTTCTCTCTTCCCAGAAGTGAGAATCTTTAATTAATAAAGCAAAACACTACTAGCTTAGCTAGATGATAATAGAATGTATAGAGCTACTATAGAGTGTTAGTCCCTTGATTTGCATGATGATTGCTGATTTATAGTGACTGATCAGCATTAACTACAACGACCCTCTAATTGTACTTAGCCAATATAGTATTTAAATGGTTAATATATTTTTAGGAGTTCATAACAAGTTCAATGCAAACATAATAACTAGTCTAGAATCACATAAAAATCGATATCAAACAGTGCATACACAATGAAGTTATAAAGTCACACTAGCATTGTAGTTATGGAGCATTATGACTTTCAATAAGTCCCATGAGCTCTGGGAGAAAGCAGAATGCTGGAGAGGGACATATTTTGAGTTCTTTGTATGGAAGGCGTTTTGACTGCAGTTGGTAAAGGGAAAGGATGAAATAAATGCATAAAATGATTGAAGGAACTGAGGGTGGGTACATAAACGATGAGTGCTATAACAATGACCTGAATATCTCGGATGAGGAGGAGTCTTCAAGAGATTCATCTGCAAGAATTAGTATCTATTTACTTTGAGGTAGTAACCAGCATATGAACAAAATACAGAACATCAAGTTTAAAGAAATAACTTTCCATACAATTTGCAATTTGTTTATAATATCAAGTTGAACCTACCGAATCAAACGTTTCCAAATCTCGTGCACACATTAAAATTTGGGATTAGCTCGTGCACATATTAACATATTTACATGCACACTGGCACACTGCCAATAATATCTGGGATTAGCTCGTGCAGACATTAACATACTTACATGCATACAGTTTGTATTTTAAGGGGGGTTTGTATTATTATTATTATTATTGTTGTTGTTGTTGTTGTTGTTATTGTTATTGTTATTATTGTTATTATTATTATTATTATTAGCGGATCGGTGAATATTTCAAGATACTTTCTTGAGACATCGACTGCGCGGAATCTCAAGAAAGTGGGGGACTAGATGATAGATAGTATACTAAGCCTGGGCCACATGGATCGGCTTGAGAAAATAGCTGAATCAAGGAAGCCCAAGAAAGATACACGATATAGAGCAACCCAAGAGTTTGTCAAAGATTGAGCATTTTTTTCCAATATAATTAGAATTTGACTCATTATTTCTAGTATAATAGAATTAGGACTTATCATTCCCAATGTAATTAAGAATTCCAATATGAGGCAGTCTATAATTCTTATTCTTTATAGGGCTCTATGTCCAAAATATGTATAAATAGACCCCTCGAAGGAGGTGGAAGAGAACTTTCAGTATTCACAAAACAATATTCATGATTCATCCATACAAAGTTCCTATATTTTCTCCATATATTTCTCCTATATTTTTACGATATTCTCGTTATTCTAACGGTAGTGTTGGCCTGCCGTTGACGGCCCAAAAGTCATAAAACCAACAAACACCAAATGCTACAATTGTGTGAGCGTGGATGCACTTTGTGCAAATTATAATCATCGATGGTGTACTCAATTTTATTTGCAATGTTTTGTAATCACATTTTGTCACGAAGTAACTTATTTTAAATTATTACAATAAATCAAATATTTTGTAATCACATTTTGTCACGAAGTAACTTATTTTAAATTATTACAATAAATCAAATATTTTGTAGTCACATTTTTTCACGAAATAACTTATAAATATATGTAATAATACATATTTAATTTCGTAAGTGGAAAATGAATTTAAAAAATAACTACTAGTAAACAAGTTTTTAATTTTAGTTTTCGAAAACAGAATAGAAAAACAAAAAATTGAAATAGAGAACGAAAGTAAATAGACCCTTATAAAATAAAACTCTAATCTCACGACTCACATATCATGCCTAGGCCTATTTAGTCAAATAGTAGCCAACTCGACTTATTTCTATTAGGACTATATTATTCGTGTAGACTAGGACTCTATCTAGTATCTATATATTCGCTCTTTGTACTATCAGACATTGTGATAGAATACAACACTTTTACATACAATCTCATCTGGTATCAACTTCCAGGTTTTCTCTAATGGAAGGTCTCGGTCTCCCTGATGATGGCTCTGTTCGATCTTCTGAACGGACCGTTACCGAGACTTCCCCTATGCCCACCGGGAATAGCCTCTCAGCTCATCACTTTGTTTCCTTGAAATTGACCTCCCGTAATTATCTTTTTTGGCAGACACAGATGCTACCGTTTCTAGAAGGTCAAGGTCTTCTCAGCTTCATCGATGGTAGTATACCGTACCCGGTCGCAGGAGTGGATTTGTGCTGACGATGGAGTCGGCGGTGTCCCGCCGGTTGCAATGGCCGCTGGCCGAGGCGGTGCCGCCCCTAGTCGTGGTCGTGGCAATGTGACATAGCAGCAAGGTCGCGGTCGATGCTCGGGCGGCGGTAGACGTGGTCGCGGTCGCTGGCGTGGCTCGGACACGGGGCTCTCTCGTGTTGCCATCGTTTCTCAACCCCCCCGGCTCCTCGGACGAATGTGGATGTCTCTGGTGAGAATGGTGACCACAGCGGTCCTCATGAGTGGTTCCCGGACACTGGTGCTACGAATCATGCTACCCCTAATTCATCCTTGATGACTTCCGCGACAAGTTATGATGGCTCGGAAACTCTGCGAGTCGGCAGTGGTACAGGTTTGCCTATTGTTAATGTTGGTTCTGCTTCGTTAGCCACTGATTCTAGGTCGTTTAAGTTGCATGATGTTTTGCATGTCCCTGGTCTCTCTTCTTCTTTATTATCTGTTCAACATTTTGCGAAAGACAATAATGTTTTCTTTGAATTTCACCCTCTTTGTTTCTATGTGAAGGACATTTTAACCAAGAATGTTCTTTTTAAGGGACATGCATCTGGAGGTCTCTACACATGGCCTGCGTCTTCTGCCTCTCCTGCTACGTTTATTGTTGCGCGATCCTCTTACGTTTGCACATGCGGTTGGGGCATCCTCATTCTCGAGTCTTGCGTCAAATTCTAACGTCTTCGTCTGTTAGTACATTTAATTCTAGTGATCTTCCCAATGTATGTTCCTGTTGTTAATTGGGAAAATCTTCTCGTTTTCCTTTATCTCGTGTTGAAACTACTAGTACGCATCCTTTAGAATTAATATAGTTAGATATTTGGGGCCCTGCGCCATTACTTTATGTGACTGACTTTAAATATTTTGTGTTGTTTGTGGATGATTACACTCGTTATATGTGGTATTATCCAATGCGTGCAAAGTCTGATTTGTATGCTATATTTGATAAGTTTCTGTCACTTGTTGAACGTTCTTTTTCTCGCAAGATTATTTCTTTTCAGTCTGATTTAGGGGGAGAATATAAAAAGCTTGGTTCCACTCTTGCTTCGCAGGGTATTCATCACAGGCAATCCTATGCGTATACTCAGGCTGTCTTTAATGGCTCAAGCATCTGTCCCGTCTCGTTTTTGGGACTATGCTTTTGAAACTGCTGTGTATCTAATTAATAAAATCCCTACTCGTGTTCTGTCTGATGAGTCTCCTCATTTTCGTTTGCATCGATCTCCCCCGTCCTACTCTTACTTGCGAGTATTTGGTTGTTTGTGATTTCCTGTCCTTCGTCCATATAATCGCAATAAACTCCAGTTTCGTTCGTCTCCTTGTGTTTTTCTAGGTTGTCATCCGTCTTATCGTGGCTACTGCTGTTTGGATACTAACACTAACAAGGTTTTTA